CTACTCCACACACCTCTTGTCATACTGGTTAAGATTAACCCCCTATGAAAGAAAAGAAAAGGAAAAGGTGTGTGACTGTGGGTGTTGCTCCTTATCAGGTTAGTGTTGCTTTAAAAGCTGAATGGAAAGTTTCATGTTATTTCAGCCAGAATATCACTGTGACACTGGAGGGCAGGCAGGAAGATGGTGTGTCGGAGTAAAAACAGACTAAAATATCCACTAGATTTTACAAAGGCCGCAATTCTTCCATGCTTCATTTCCAGCAAACTATTCCTGTCACTAGCTCGCAAAAATACTTTCAGCACAGTTTAAGAAAAGATCCCTCTACAGGATTTTCTACTGATATGTTCATTCAGGCTGCACATGCTGGTTTTTGTTTTCTTTTGTTTTCTCTAGCCTGATGAAACAACGTGAGCTGCCCAAAGATTTAGATTTGTAGATTTGATATACAATCAGTGGCTTATTTTTTCAAACCATTTGCTACAAAAGAGTAAAGAAAAAGGTGGAAGTGCAAGCTGAAATTGAGCATAACTACAGTTTTTTTGATGTTTCTATTTTTGCCCATTGCTATAACAAGGTAAAACCCTCCTGCTGTCTGCGGTTATAAATCTAGAGCCAATCCCCAGCCAATAGGCAAGACATCAAACTTTTACAGGGGGCAGGGATTTCCTGCATGGGAGCGCAGCACATGGAACGAACAATTAAGTTGATGGCATGATAGCATGAGGCCATGATAAAAGAGGGTCACTAACTCGGAGCCCTATAAAACTGGAAACATATATGTTTGTGGAGAAACTATTTCTGTCTTGCAAACACACACATACAGAGTTCAGGTCTGGGTGGTGCCCCAGTCACGCAAGACCATAATCAAAAGCTGCTGTCTCCTCTGGCTCCATTTTTCCTCTTGCCAGCTCTAATAGAGGGTGAGATATCGCAGCAAAGTCACACTGAACAGAACACACACACACACACACACACACACACACACACACACAAATATACAGTAATCAAACAAACACATACAAGTGTGTCAGCACACAACTGTTTGCCTGTGCAGGGCCCAGTACTGTAGATGTTAGTGGATGGGTGAGCCAAGCATCACTGTAAACACTGATGTTTAGAGCCTGACATGCTTCAAAACTACCTGAAGTTCTGCTGGAGTGCGCGATGGAAATTTCCAGACCCCATGAATTCATCAAGACCCTTTAAAACAAAACCCAATGGCCAAGATTGAACAGGTACTTTGTTCGATGACCAAGCAGACAAATGTGAAGAAACCTTGCGGTATAACTCCTTCGAAGAACAGGTTTTCCATGTGTGTACAGACTTCTAAACCTCTTTATGTCACTGGCACTTTGATTATATATAATAAACACACTGCTTTTAGATATCTATTGCATTTAAAAGACGAGAGGTTATAAAATGCCCTCTGAGAAGCGCTACTTCTTCTGGGCAGACTGGAACCTACGGTGACTCTGTACTGGAAAGTCTGACCGGGCTGGGGCTAGCTGGTTAGCGTGCTAACTTTACTACAAGAATAGAAGCGATATAAATAGAATCAAAACAAGAGGGTTAAAGCTGAACTTACAATATTTATTCTGGACTGGTAAGTAAACACCTGTTAATGCTAACATTGGCTATGTAGCAATAGCTCCTTTAACTGATTTGGCAGCGTAGAGTAGAGTCAATGTGTTGTTGTTTGCTACCAAGCTCTGCCCTGGTGAAATCTTACTTTCCTGAAAGAGATAACAACGTCACTTTCCTGTCTAGACTTGCTGGTGCTCCGCTCTGAACGTGCAGCAGGTACATGGTCAGTGTAAATTCTCAGGGCTCAGAGCAGTGTACATCTCTCCCTTAGTAAGTGGTATAAGGTCCTCATTAGTTGACTTCACTGCTAAGGTACCTTGAAACACAGTTTCCTGCAAACATTACTTGAACAGGAGTAAATAGTTAATTTGCTTGGGGATTGTTGTCAGCCATAGTTTTGGTGCAGCAGTGAGTATGAACTGCAGCAGGAAGATGTATGTTAGCAAGACTCAATAGATTACAGTGCCTTACAGTTCATTATAAAACAAAAAATAAAATAAAACATGTCATCCTGTTCAACATTGTGCCTCAATTATGTCTTTCCAATAGTTTTGGGACAACAATAAAGCTCTATGGCACAGAGGAATAAGATACAGTAGTTTGTATAAGATCACTGATTGAAAATAAGCACTAATTACTAAATCCAAGGAGGATTAATTCAACTGTGTTTGAATAATATTTGAATCTGAAAATCACGCACAAATTAATACACGCATTTGTTTATTGAATGCATACAGGTGTATAGAGTGAGTGCATAATTGACCTGGTGTGGCATCATTTTGTATGCATGGCTGTGCTGTTTGTGTGTATGTGCACACACCTGCTGCAGCCCCCATGCATCTCTCCTTCCACAGATAAGCACCAGCTGCATCACAAACCCCCAAGCTATCTCCAGGCGAAACCTAACAGTGTTTTACCACATCAAATCCCTGCCTGGCTCTCTGCACCGTATCCTAAGCAGAAAACCATCCAGTGTTTATGAAAAGCTACTGACCATAAACTCACAATTTCTCCTTGTTACTGCAGCAAAAGATGCCCTAAGGTGTTTTGGAAGGAGCGTGTCATATACAATGTTTTGTATAGATTCATACCACATTGATTTGTATGAGTGTCTTTCGCAAGCGTAACTACATCTTGGGGGAATCCTTTGACCTTTCAAGTGTCACTTCTGTTGTCAAGGGAGCAAATCAATGCCCCAATCTGGTTTCTTCATAAATCTGGATGAATCAAATGCAATTAGGCCTGTGAGTCTACAGCATGGGAACTAATTAAACTATTTTGTTGTGTTACAATGACTGATGTCTTTCAACAATATCTCAGGAGTGCTGATCAATCCTGTGCAGTCTCGTCACATCGGAGGGGGAGGCTGGCAGGGGTCAGGTCAGAGACACGGAGGATTTCAGAGAGAACTCAGCGAACAGACTTGAAGACTGAAAACGAATGAAGTCGGATGTCCTCCTGTGACCTGATCCGATTTTCCATTACTGTCTCCTTTAATCACAGTGAGCGACGGGGAAATGATGAAAGGGTGGTGGAGGGGTGATGAAGAGATGAAGGGATTTGGGAAGAGAAGTATGGAGTCATAGCATGATGTGGGTGTGTGTGAAATGCAATGAACCTGAGAATGAGCCTCAGGGTGTTTCCCCATTCTAAAGTTATTTCACACCGAATCCTGTTGACTTGCTTCACCTGGGAAAAGCATACAAATACACATGAGACATCTGTGCCCATGTGTATTTTTCTCACGGACTTTGTGTGTCTGTGTGTGTATAATATATTAAATATCGAATGCAATGACTTCACTTAAATCAGTAACACTATTTATTGATTGATTAATCACTCAAAGGGATCATTAGTATTTGAGAAAGTGACTGAAAAATGGGCAGATACATTTGTATATTAACATGCACTTCTATAAATATACTAGAACTTTAACTACTGTCTCACTGATAGCGTGCAGTTTTTGGATTTATTGGTTGGGTTAAAAAAAAAAGTTTTAAATTTCCTTTGAATTTCAACCACAGGTAAAGCTGTAAAGTCACTCTACTGAATCACTATACTTAAATTTGCTGTTTCACAGTTTTCTCAAATGATGGCAGATCATTTGTAAAGTAATTTTCCTTCCCAAAATAATGAAAAATCAACAATACGATGCAACGTAATTACCTTAACAGTCCACAAATTCGTTAGATATGTATTGATTTCTGTGGTCACATCATATATTCATATTGTAGTTGGGTTTAAGATTTTTTGTTATGCTTTACTTGCTCTGGATTTTGCACTCTGACACAAGTGCTGAGCTTATTTATGGATTTTATTACAGACAAGTCTTAAACAAATTAGGTTCCTACTGTCAAAGTGGGACTTTGAAAGTGAAGATTAGTGAAAATTCATTCGGGATTTAGCAGCTTTTTCATGTGAAAGTGTGATAATTAATACAAAAATTATGTCTCAAATTCCAATATGTCTAAAATTCAAATTTGCTCATTAGCGCTGAATTTTTTTTGTGATAAATACTACAGCATCGGCAGCCTAGTTTCCTAACAGAATTGACCTACTAATAGATGAGGAATGAGTCCATAAACTGCCAATCATTTGTTGTTTTAAATCATAGACAGTTATAATTACAGACAACTGGATTACAGACATAGAAACCAGAATGTGTGGTGTTGCTGTAATGTAAAACATATTGTGACTAATATTCACTTAATATTAAAAAACAAGCGCGATTAGTCTGATTAAATGAATTTGGACACGCAACTAGGAAAACACACTATACTGTCTCTGTCACACTAGTGTGCTATCATGTGCGTCCTCAATATGTCGTCTGGTATCTACTGCCAGCTACTCTTTCAGCATCTTCTAATTCTATTGTTTGTCTATATTTTTGTCGTGCCAGGGATACGTGAATCTTAAATCTTTTTGTTCTTCCTGTGTGGGGTTGAGTTATGCGAAACAGCAGATATAAACAGATGCTCCATGTGCTGCGTACTTTAAGTGCTGAATACACTGCTCACCAAGAACACAGCTTGTATGTTCCCTTTTCATGGTGTGCAGCACATCTCAATATGGCTGCCTGTTATCACAGCCACAGTGAGTTTCAAAACATAATCTCCATGTAAGAAAATTCACCTCGCTCATTTAATTTCAAACTAAATCGTCACTTGCTCTTTTTCAGGTCTGGGATGTCGGCCCTCAGGGCATTCAGTAAGCTAAATGCCAAACATAACCTGCTTTAAGTGATAGAAGGATGGTCTGAGAGTATTTATTTATACACACAAACACACATAGTTTTTGAACTGCTGGCACAGTCATGATTTTGTGCCCCTGTAAACTGATCACAAAACAACATAGCCTAGTTTGTACCTCTGGTCCTACAACAGAAAGCAGGCGATGTGGGTTGATGAGGGTACCTTGTACTGTGAGTTGGGCCTGAGCTTCAATGGTGGCGTTAGAATTGTCCGCCATGCAGGTGTAGACGCCGGCATCCTCCTCTGTGAGATTGGAGATCTGGAGACTGCCTCCTCCCAGAACCTCCACTCGACCCTCGCTGCATTCAGAAAAGAAACACAGTGGTGGGAAAAGTAGAAAAGAAAATTAGTTAGATTTGACTATGAACAAATCTTTCCCTCTGGTTTCTCTTTAATCGACAGTACTAATTACCTTTTATTTGGGGCTTTTGCTACATGTAACACTGTCAGCATCACATGCAGGAGCCCTCAGGCTGCTGGCCCCGTAGCAGCATCTTGATAAAACTGAACTTAAGCCTCAATTTTTCAACCAGGCTTGTTAAATATGTAAAACGTCATTACAGCCCATTTCCATGATGCACACTCCCCTCCCGCTTCTTCAGATGACGGCATGCTAAAGGTTGTAGCTTCTGGAGCTCCACGTTCCCCTACTGACCTGAGGTTGACTCCACATCTCGTCTTTGCTCTGTCACCTCTTACCAACTCTCTGAATAAATAAAACATACTAAAAGCCAAGTCAGCTGCCCTGAAAAGAATGCCATTTGCAATTCTTCTCACAGTCATGATTCATTAACAGTCTGGATTTGGAGAGTCAATGCTTTTTTAAAGAATAAAAAACATTAATCATTGTGTAAGTTACATGTACATATGGACAGATGCCATAATGTTTTATTCAGTACGAATCAGCTTTGATTATACATGAGAGTGCTGGTCTTATTGAAGCTGCAGCTGGGACGCGTATCGTGTACAGTGTCATTACCGCAGTTGTTACGTTGACTTAACAAATGTTTTCATTTTCTTTCATCAGCTCTTAATTAACTGCAGTGACATGCAGCTAAAGAATAACAATACAGCGATCTAACATCAAGCAGGAGCGAATCTGACATCAAGAACTTCTGTTTCTCGTCATCCAGTATCGTCAGGAGCAATACCCAAAGCTACATCTCCTTTATCATAAGCACCAACAACCGGTTTTCACACAGTGTTTTCCTTTTCTCATAAGTTCTATTCACTCAGGTGTTGTGCTTTAACTTGTGTAAAATGCATAATAATCTACACACTGCAACACAGAGCGGCAGAAGATAGGACAACCAGGTCATGCTTTTCAGCAAGTATTTCAGACGGAGCAATCATAAATATTTATCAATCTACAGCATTCACACCCCATCTTGATCACCACATATCTATTTGGACAGCCTCTCTCTGAACCAGTGACCCTCCACCATTTAAACAGTCCCAACTTTGATTTTCCCAGTAGGCCCAGGGGGAAGCAGACTGTGGCCAAGCTCTGGCTTGATTCAACAGCCAGTGGAGCATTTGGAGTACGATGAGGCTGAGAGGAAAGAAAACAGAAATCAATAGCTTAAAGAGAGAACTCTGCATTCACAAAGAGAAACAGAGAGGCGGGGAGAAAAGTAGGAGCAGCGGGTCGGCTGGAGAGGATAAAAATCCAAAGAGGGCCGCTGCAAAGCGAGATGCAGCTGAGGAAAGCAAGATCAGTGCATAATGGTTTTTGCACAGAGGAGTGAGAATACATGCCGAGGTATAGAGTGCACTGAGGAAAACAACCCTGTGCTGCAGGCTGATTTAGTTTTAAACAAACTGCTGACTAGCTAGAGCTTCCACATGAGCTGCTTTCTCTCTCTCTCTCTCTCTCCCTCTCTCTCTCCCTCACTAGCTCTGGGTTTTGGCAGCGCTGGCCTTTGAGACCATCTGCCTGTCTGTCTGTCTGTGCTGGAGTGGAGCGTTCGAGTGGCACTCGACCTGCTGTCACCAAAATGACATCACTGTTTCACTCATGCTGTAAGGATAAACTAGACTATTAACTTGAGCGCCAGCTATAACCATTTAACAGTTACAACAGTTGCAGTTTTAGGTTACCTAGACTCCCTGTCCTGTAACAGAGCAGGACTTTAGTGCCTGAAAATGGAAAATTGGAAAATGGACAGCTTAAATGCAGTTACAGATGTGCTTTTTTTTATAGGGATCCTCTTTTACACCAATGGTAATGGGCTGGAACTGTCCCTATTAAAAAATCTCACACAAAAAGCTGAGTTTGGTGTACAATAATTTACCAGGCTGCTGTGACAGGCTAATGCATGGTTGTCATTGTAAACACATGACCCATCTTTCTAACTGCACTTCTATTATAAGCTTCATAAATTTTAATGATTATGATTATCTAGATTAAGAGCATTTGTTGGAGATGGTGCAAAGTTGCCACCAATTTCTATGCTGTAGTAATACTATATCAATTCTGCACTAATAACGGCAAACCTGTAATTATAGTGAACCAGTGCCAAAACCATTTTTAACAAACCTGAGCAGTGTGACACCTGTTGTTAAATGCAGGCCAGGGGCGGTGTTATGAAGTCAGATTAAGAGTCATATTAACCCATTCAGACTGTAAGACAGTTTAACCCCAGGTCTCAATATCAGTCAGTGTATTTAACAGAACACTGGGTCCTTTCTGACAGCACGGGATTGTGTAATAAAGAATCACACAGAGGATTCCTGGGTGAAAAAAGAAGGGTAGCATAAAGAAGGCTGCAGAGTCTTTTTCTTTTGATTCTGAAACTGCAGAACGTAACACAGAACCACTGAAAATGCCAAAGATCTTGCTGTACATTGATTATTCCCTGTGTACATTAGACAGTATGGCTGATACTGGCGGGAGGCTTCCTCCTGCAGTTAGTCTCACCAGGACAACTATTCAGATTCTTTGGCCTTTAGCACCACATGCATCTTAAAGGGCACTGACAGCTTCCTCTTGTACTGGAAATAGGAACTTACAGCACATATCAAACCATCAGGCAATTTCACTTTCTGTCCACAGCAAGTCAATCTTAGCTCTGAGTGCAGCAGCTTAAGTGCTCTATTGAAGAAGGACTGTGTTACTGTTTATAGACCATGAGGGAGGGAGACAAAGTAAATTGGTTCGAAGACACCTCGCACTTTAGTGAGGGGACTCTCTCCACTTGTGGTCATTTAAATTAAGACGAGGTGCCTGCTGTAAGAATATGACATCCTGTACACGATGCTGCAGGCCCTTAGTGGGAGATGCTGCTAATTAAAAGTGCATTATGTGTCTTCACCTACAAAGAGCTGTTAAATTAGCTCCCTATTTTCACCGTCACTTTTCATCTTGTTACGAAACAGCAGAGGCACACATGCATACACACATACAGCACAAGCGACTGGAAGATTACAGAGTCACGCAGACCAGGTGCAATGGTGCTAATTGGCCTTGCTCTTTATAAACAGCTCCAGTGTCAATGTTTTTACTGATTCCACTTCCAAAGAGCGCCACTCTCCGTATTGTCTGTCGCTGCAAATATGACATATAATGTTATATCGTTATATTGGTCTAGATTTCCTTCTCATAACACCTGAAAACATCATTTATCAGTTTCAAAATGTTGTTCAGAACAGCAACATCCTCCTTCAGCTCCTCTCTAGTGCCACGCTCGTCCAGAAAAGGTGTCGACAATGTCCTGTCAACATGCAGAGGTCTCGGACACAATTTGTCCCCTGCTCTGCCACTCAGCTTTGAAGGCAGTGGCGGGGGGGGGGGGCACATTTGGTATGTGTGAGTGGTGACTCAGCCTTCCGTAACACAGACGAGTGGCAAGGTCGGTACACCTGGGCGAAGGGAAGCTACATATCACTGGAGAACTGAAGAACTGTGGGCTGTGCAATACGCTGTCACAGAGCAATCAGTTGTGCTGTGACAGTGGTTGGCGCACGGGTCGTGCTAGCTGCAGCACAAGGGGGAGGCAGGTGGAATCACAACTGTCACAACAACAACAAAAAAAAGAGGGCATTCATTATTAATGGGTGGAGTGGCAACATCTAAACTTTTCTTGGCCTCTCTTTCCTCTTATTTTTCTTTGTTCAGACAATATTTATTTCTCCACCCTCACCCCCCCCCTCCTTTTTTTTCCCTCCCCTCTCTGTGTATCTACCAACCTGTCCACCATCTCAACCCATCTCTCCCCGCGCCGTCATGCACCATGAATGCTAACTACTGCGCTGTTCCAGGTGTTGTGGTTTAAAGTGAACGCAAATTGAACTTCCCCCTTTTGACCAGAACATAATCATAACAGTTCCATGAATTTGAATCGTGTTCAAGGTGTGCAGAGAGTACTGGGATTTCATTTTAGAGCCACAGAGGGCAGACGGCGGATTGGAATGATTTGTCCCGCTTCCAAAACACAACTTTTCTTTTTTTTTTTTCTTTACCTACCCCTGTTCAGATATGAGCTGCTGGGGTATAAGGGGAAACAAATGTGCGAGACAAAGGAGAGAAGAAAGAAGCCAGGAAATAAAGAAATAAGTAAACAAATATAGATTAATGTGAGAAACAACCTGGTGCCAACAACATAGGCTGGGGCTTCTTAAGTGACTCAGCCATGAAAACATTTTTGTTTTCCTCTGGCTCATAATGGAGAGCTGCAAGACCCGGGAACAAAAACAACTCTTGCATACCTGACTTTATATGCTTTTTTCCCCCGAGAATAAACCGATCGTTTGATTAGTGCATATTACAATAAAGCGAGCAGCACATACCTTACATAAGATACTTTATATAAGACGGCTCTGGTGGGCCCTCTGGGTCGCTTGAAGCCACATTAACCCAGTACGCCCCGTGCTGTGTCACATCTACAGAACCGCAGTACTCCACCGAATTATAAAACCTTTAAATAGGACATAATGTCTGGTGAAGAGCCACAGCAAAACGTTGTAGGTGATTTGTTTGCTGTGAGGGACAATGTGCAGGTCCAGGATCAGCTCAGTGAATAAAGCCCCATATTATCAGTTCAAGCTCAACTAATGATGCTGCAAAGTTTTAAATACAATAAGTAGAATTTCTTGGTACTTAGTTTTTTAGAACAAACAAAAACTGCAGCTGACAGCAGATTAACAATGGCCACTAGCCAATATATTCCTCTTATCCCCAATTCCTACTTGAAAATAAAAATAAAAAATAAATAAAAATAGACGATATGACAGGAAACATGCTTTGAGGAGAGCCAGTGAGATCTGCTGGAGACTGAGGGACTATCCATAAAAGGAGACT